TGCCTCACCACCCTCTGCCTCCAAAACTTCCTCCTCACATCCAACCCAAACCTCCCCTGTCTCACTTTCAAGCCATTCCCCTTGTCCTGTCACCACCCACCCTCACACACAGCCGTTCCCCCTCCTGTTTATCCGCTCCCTTCAAGCACTGAAGGCCACCATCAGGTCTCCCTGCAGCCTTCTCTTCTCCAAGCCCAGCTCCCTCAACCTAAGGAGTGCTCAGAGGAAGCCACAGTGAAGGGAGACAGAGTGAAAAGGTATCAAACAAGCTGGCTTTGTGTACACCCTTGTCAGCCAGCATGACTGTGTGACTGACACTTGTGCCTGATCACAACCTTCTCTCCTTTCTTAATATCCACAACATCCTTAACTTTCAGTGCAATCTCTCAGTCTGACTTGTGTGTACGAACACAAACAGAGAGAAATGCAGGAGTGAATTTGGGACCAGCATCTGGAGTTGTCCTGGCAAGGATATCAGGTAAATGACTCAGCATCTAGGAGGGCTCAGGATCTGGGCAGAGGTAGGGCCAGATAGAGACAAAGCTAAAGCTCAAGAAATGCACAGATGTGCAGGTGAATCCACAGAGCAGAGTGTGTGTACATCCCCTATGGACCTTCAACCCTCGCCAGCCAGAGACAGAGAAGTGATTTGGCTGCCTCTGCTCCATCTAGGCAAGTCCCTGCAGGGCTCTTTGGGGGTGCTGTGAAGGCAGTGCCTCAGCTGTGTGCAGCTCCACACTGCTTGGATCTGTGATCCCTGCCCACCTCACAAACTGCTAAGCCTGCAAACAGGAAAGCAGCAGCCACTGTTAGATGATAACAACGGTCCTTTTCAACCCAGGCCATTCTATGATTCTACATCCTTCAGCTTGGGAAGGAGACCCCTGGGAGCACTGAGATGGGTTCCACCAACTAAGCAGAACAGTCACCCTCCAGAATATGGAAGGACAGCAGCCATTTCTACATCCCTTCACCCTCACAAGTCTGAGAAGCGCGTTGTGGCTGTTCTCAAACCAACCAACAGGCTGCCATAAGCAAAGCTCAAGTCAAATGCTACAAGTATGCCAAACACAGACAGTCACACAGTGCAACTCTCAGCAGGAACCCCAAAGTCAAGCAGTCATGTACCAGAAGTAAATGAAGCCCCAGAACAAGCAGTTTGACAGCATTAAGGAAAGAAAAAGTCAATCTTGCATCAGTACCAGCATACAGATGGCAAGTCCTTATGCTGCTCACTGCATACCTGAGTGAAGACAGGACAGCGTAGCAACTGAAATCATTTCAACCCTCTCCCAGGAAACTGAGTTTAACACACTCACCTCTTCTTTCTTCTTTGGGTCTGACATGGGGTTTCTGAAAAGCGGAGAATCTCCAAAGGGTGAATAAGTCAAATTATTGAGGTGCTGCTGCAGGACTGCCTGCTGGGCAGCCGATGCATTAGGATCTGTCAGTGCTGCAAAAAGAACAGTTTTCAGCAGTCAACACTAATAGAATCAAGGCAGGCAGAAAAGACAACCCTCAGCCAGAGGCTCTCCTCATAGCAGTTCCAAATCCTAAATTAACATCCTTTTCTCCCTGCTCTTCAGAATGCTGAAGGAAGAAACCATATCCTATCCCTTCGTTGGAATTTGGAAACACTTTCATTAAAAAGCTGAGTGTGGAGAAGCTACAAGAGAGGACGAGCCTGGCCTTCCAACACCTTCACTTCACACTCTGGGTTTTTGCAGCATTATCTGTTGATGTCTTGGAAAAGAAAAAATCCTGGCTGCAATTCTGACTTTCCTGCTGCACTGATCAAACACAGATCCCAAGTCCCCTCAGCAGAAAAGGCCTCTTCAATCCTACAGCATCTAATTTTAGTTCCCATCAAGATCCTACAGAGATCACATTACAGAACATCTAAGAGCATAAAGCACCTTGTTTTTAATTCCAAGACCTGACATCTTTTGATCCACCTCTGCTTGCTCTCACAGCCATACAACAGCAGCTTCTCTCTGGCCATCTCACCAACCATCCAAGCACAGAGGTGAACCTCAGACATCAGCCAGCTTTTGTGGGCCCCTTCCTGCCACGCAGTGCTGTGTGCCACCCCTCCCTCCTTCCATCCCACTGGAAACCATTTCCTGACCCTGCTACCTGTGAGGGGTAGAGCACCATGGCCATGTGTGCCATCCCCAAAGCACTCAGCTCTGCCCAGCAGGACGCAGTGCAGGACTTGGCAGGCACTGTGACTCACAGAATGATGCACTGTGACAGATTCTACCACCACACTCACCTGCTAAGCACCCTGAGCTCTGCCAGATAGCATTACTTAAGAAATTAATACCACATTTCTTCTTTTAAATGTATGAAATGCATCTACTGCTCTGACCTGAAGTGACTGATGGGAAGCATCTTACGAATTTTGGAAGGAAAGCACTGAAACATCTGTAAGTGTTAAGAATGCTGACATCAAATGACACTTGGAAGAACAGACATGTGATGCTAAGGAGGGAAAAACTGCACAGCCTACGTTGCTACTGAGAGCAGAAGCAGCAGGTGGATCCTCCAGCATTTGTTTGGCTGGAAGGAAGCAGTGACTGAATTCAGGCTGATGCACACTTACCTACAGCAGGCTGAGGGGCTCCAAAGCCCAGAGTAGCAGTGGAGGTATTGAACCCTGGTGCTCCAAAAGCTCCTGTTCCCAGCGTCCCACCGAGTTTAGGCTGGGTGTTCCCAAATAACGAAGTCTGTCCTGCCCCGAGGGCTACGGCACGAGAAAACTCACTGTAACACTTGGAATAACCAGTTTATCCCATAAAGAACTCATTAACAAGCTGCAAGAAACACTCGAGGTGTGCATGAATGCTACAGACAGCCCAGGCTCACACAATCAGACCAACAGAGGCAACCAGCAGCCTGCTGAGCCCTCAGCCACAGCCAGGAGTGTCACTGCCCACAGTTTCTAACAGGTGGATCAGCACAGCATCATCCAGCTCTGCTCAATTCTGATGTAAGGCAGGTTTGTGACTTCAAGCCAAAGCTCCTACAGCCACTGCTGTATCACCAGAGTTACTGAGCGATACAAAGACTTCACCAAAGCTTGAGGACTATGCTAAGCTGAGACAGAACAAGCCAGAAAACTGCTTACCTGTTCCAAACCCTGTCCCAAGCCCGGTTCCCAGAGTCCCCGTTGCAGGCTTATTCCCAAACAAGCTATTTCCAGCATTGTTGGCACCAAAACCTTCAAGGACACAAACAGGAGCTCATTAATCTAAAGCTATTAGCGATGAAATTTAAAACACAAATAAGCATCAGCCACTCAAAGACAGCTCTGCCACAGTTAAGGTCAAATTTTACACACCACTGCCAAAAATGCATGTTAAACAAGCAGCAAGAAGGGACTTCAGTGGTAAAAATAATGTACATGAGTTACAACTATACAACTGACAACATTAGCTCAGAGATTTACTGTCTTGCTTTCTTTTAATTTGTTACAAAATCCAGTATTTTATAAAGCCAAAAAGGACATCATTATTCTGTTGCCTGTTACAGCATCAAGCACGTTTAGTTTCTTGAACTGCCTGCAAGGAACATCCCCACTGCATACTGTCTATACCACACACACCTCTGGTTCCTACTGACAAAGCAAGGAACAGCCCCCAGCCAGGAGAGCGCACAGCTCAAAAGCACACCTCTAAAGCTCACCCAAATCCAGCACCACACAGGTTAGATTGTAAACTGAAGGCTGCAAAACCATTCTGTTCATGGTTAATTACGTAGGCATTAATTAGTGTAAGGACAGAATTAAGCTAGACAACTGCAGTCACAAACTGGCACCAGAAGCACCCCAGACCCAAACTTCTCCTGCCTGCTGCACTGCTGCAAACAATGCAGGGCCATCAACACAAACACTGGCATTGCTCCTGCTCTCTGCTGCAATGCCCAGCTGTCTGGTTCTCAGTACAGCAAGAGATTTGGAAGCAACTTCCCAATAAAACAGGGTAACAAGGTGCCCAAGCTCCATCACCACAATGGGACTGGGCCTGCTGCAGTGCTGCCCTGGCAGCCTAAGAGCTGGACAATTCATTCCCTCTTTCTGGAAGATGGATATGGCAGAATATCAATTTTTAGTCTGTTTTTGTAGACAGAAAAGCTGCCAGATCTTCAACACTGTAAACCCAGCCCTGCTCCCCTCGAGGAATAACAGTTCTGCTGCTCTCAGTGTCAGCAGACAAAGGAAGACTGACATCTACTTGAACAAACACACATTTCATACAATCACAGAACGACCTGGGTTGAAAAGGACCACAATGATCACCCAGTTTCAACCCCCCTGCCATGTGCAGGGTCACCAACCAGCACACCAGGCTGCCCAGAGCCACATCCAGCCTGGATTTCTCCTGGACATTTCTGCTGCCTGATCACACGCTGAACACCAAACACCATCAGAGTCAGAGGCAAACACTCATGCAAGACCCCAGCCTTCAGAACTATAGATTCTCAAAGTGTGAAAGACAGCAGCTATCAGTGACACTGTTTCTTATCTCTCTTATCATAAATCCCCTAGATCTGCCATCGAACCCCAGACAGCACTGCGTCACTCAGCACTCCTCTGCAATCACAGCTGCGTAACAGGCTGCAGACACACAATGCTGCCTAAGTTCTTTGATTTCAATTGCTCTTAATTACAGCTTACACCTTCCTAATTGAAACAGCGGGACTTCAACTTAACTACCTAGGTCATAAGTCAAGGAGCAGCACAGAGGAAAGGAACAAAACAGGATCCAAGGTGCTCCTCTGCAGCAACGCCCCTCAGAAGGACGGCTTACCTGAGGATCCTAACACCCAACCGTTAGCATGCGACACTCAGCAGCCAGGTGTGTGGTATATGCAGTACAGTTTTAAGTGACTGAATCCCACTTTTTTTCATATGTACCAAAATTGGAAGTGTTTGTATTGGTTCCTAAACTCAGGGTTGGTTTGTTACCAAAGAGCCCGCCGCCAGTGGTTGTACCAAATGAGGTACTGGTCGTGGTGGTTCCAAATCCAGCAGGTTTGCTACCAAACAGGGTCTGGAAGGAAGAAAACATCAGTTTGGAAACCTGACAGCAGGATATTAAAAGAAGCATTGATGAGTTTCATTGCAGGCAAGAAAGCAGAAGTGAAGCCCAGCACAAGGCCAACTCCCAGCAGCGCTGTTATGTGCGACCACCTCCTGGAACAGAGTTTTTCACTCCTGTACCCACAGAGCACACATTAAATCCCAAATAAGTGGCTACTGAGAATCATTCTCATTCAGGGACCATCAAAATGCAAAGGCCTGGCGTGCTGCTGGCAGTACAAGGCTCCCTCAGCCATGTCTGGCCTCCCTTCCTGCCCCAGGCACCACCAGCTCTACTGCCCACCCCCACTCAGAAGGAACTGCACTCCTGCCCTTCAGCACCTTCACTTTGACAGCACAGCTCTGACGAGGCCAACACACAGATTCCAGATGCCATTTTGTTTTTATTTGCTTTAATTTGATGTATAAAAATAGGAACGTACCGAACCGCCAACACCAAATCCTGTGTTTGCCTGTCCAAAAAGCCCGGTTCCGGTCCCAAACGCAGTGCCAGCATTGGTAGTGGCAGCTGTTCCAAAAAGGCCTCCGGGCTGCGAGGGCTGCGTGGCCCCAAAGATACCCTACAAAGAAGAATTGCATTAAAATAATGCCACAAAGTCCAGCTGTGATGGTAAAAGCATGAACAGCAGAAGTCTGTTCATAAATACTGCGGTATTTTCCTTTTTGATGGGGAAAAAGGTGAAAAAAACATTTCAGGAGCTTGATTCAATCAGGCAATTAGTTACAGTAAGGAAAACGAAGGACTTTGTGCTCCATACTGTAGTCTCCCCTCCTCCCCCACTGTGAGCAATGAAGATGGGCAATAACCATTGCAGAGGGGTTTCTGAGAGAAGCCACAGCACAGCAAGGAGGAATGCAGCACATCTGTAGCCAGAGCCCCTGGCTATACACTAAATTACAGCTATGCAGTGCCTCTTGATCAGATGACCCCCCCAGTGATGCTCATTAGCCACCAGAAAGCATAGAATTGTTAATAAATTCCTACAGAATGCTAACAATCAGTAACAAGTAAGAGAATTTTATCATCTGCACGAACACGATCGGAAATCCTTGAGCTGCTGAGAGCAGCCATCTTCAAAAGCATGGGAAAAGCTAGCTGGGAAAAGCTGTAGGCTTTTATTGTAAGCTGTATGAGCTTGCACCAAAAATGAAAAACACTGATGGGTGAGAAGCACCTCAACCAGACAGCAGAGCTCAGAGCTTCGCATTTGAGTTCCAAGGAAGCCGTGAAACAATCTGAGGAAGATGAAGATCACTGCATCAACCCCCCCTGCACAGCTGCAACAGGCACACAACAGCAATGAAGGGCTCACACAGCTCATCTTACCATCGTGCTCGTGTTTGGCTGTCCAAGAGTGCTGGTATTCCCAAAGGGAAAGCCTGTGTTCTGCGTCGTCGTGGCCTGACCAAATGGTTTGTTAAACAGACTTGTTGTTTGAGTCTGCTGACCAAAAAGCCCTCCTGTTGTTCCTGTTCCAAAGCCAGTCGTAGCTACAACACAAAGAAGTTGGTTTAAAAAAAAAACAGCCCTCAAGTGTTTATCCCAATCTACGCTCAGTGCATTCAAACAAGAAAAAAAGAACCTCAGCTAAATTGAACAGCAAAACAGACGAGGCCAACACAGCACAGCTGCACTCAGATGGAAGCAGTTGTGCATTTTATTGTGTTCTCCTTGTGTGAATTTCTTTACTCAGAGAGTGGTGAGGTGCTGGAACAGCTGCCCAGAGAGGCTGTGATGCCCCGTCCATCCCTGCAGGTGTTCAAGGCCAGGTTGGATGGGGCCCTGGGCAGCCTGGGCTGCTGTGAGATGGGGAGGTTGGTGGCCCTGCATTGGTGGGGGGTTGGAGCTTCGTGATCCTTGAGCTCCCTTCCAGCCCAAGCCTTTCTGTAATGCTGTTAAAACCTAAATTCAACACAGGAACTGAAGCAGCACACCTCTGTTACCTTACAGCTGGAACAACGTGGCAACCAGTGGAGGAATTTACCCTGCTATCACTCAGAACAACACAGCTTTCAATAGCTTTCAGTTTCACTTTGTGAAGCAGTTTATTTCAGCTCAGGATACAAATCCCCAGCTGCACCCAGGGATTGACTGCCTCAGTAGGCAGGCTGCACATGCAGCTTCCTGCATGGTTATCTCTTTCAAGGACTGCAGCTTAGTGAGCCCTCACACTTAGTGGGCCCTTAGTGAGCCCAAAGATAAAGCCCAGCAGGGCCTGCCAGCAAGGACAGACACATTCTAACCTCAGAAGCAGCAAATCTTTGCTTCTGTTCCCAGTTAACTTTACATTTGGCTTTTATGTTCCATCTAAGAACGCTCAAAAGGTGTGAAACCAGGCTGGCACAATCTGGAAGGGTCTGGAGAACAGATTGTGGCAAGGTCTTATTGGGTCACTATAAACATACAAGGCTGTGGCCAGGGAATTCATGCCTGCTCATTAGCAGAAAGCAAAAAAATCTCATTACAGAACACTGATAATGCAGGCAGTCAAACTCTAAGCTCACACCAGCAATTCCTCATCCTGCTCAGCTGAATAGCTTAATGAAGCATTGGCATAGCTGGTGACAGTGGAGCAGCACGCAGGCAGTACTTACTAGTTCCAAAAGCAGTTTTATTCTGTCCATAGGAGAAGCCTGTATTAGTGGTAGAAGAGCCAAAAAGTCCCGTAGCTGTGCTGGAAGTAGCAGTGGAAGTCCCAAACAAGCCTGTAGTGGCTCCTGCTCCCACAGGATTCGAGGGCCCCTTCCTATTGGCCATGTAGTCTTCTAAACGCAGCTCCTAGTAAAGGAAAACCATTTCTCTTTACACAGAGTAAAGCTAAAGCCAGGCCACCAGTATGCTCACACAGCCCCCAGCCTGCCCAGCACGAAGGCACAACATCAGCTGCTAACAGCTCCTCATTTTAAAACAAGAACTGATCAACAAGACCCGAGCTCAGATGCATCACTGCAGTTACGCCTGGGCTTCAATTCTATTTCTAAGGGCATTTTTAGAGCACTCCTGTTTTCAACTATCAGTTAAGCAAGCTGGAACAGGAGGGCTTCACGGCTGTATCCTTGAGAGCAGTGGTTTACATCAAACAACTGAGTTTTGTCGTGGCTTCTGCCATTATCTCATCAGCACAGCGCTCCCAGCAGGATCTCACCCTCCTGATACACAGCAAGATGGAATTTCAGCTACTCAGAAACTGCAGTGAACACATTAAAAACCAACACCAATACAACGACGTGTTTCGTTTCATGCTACTTCTGTGCATGACGCAGACACTGAAAGCTGCATTTGTTAGCAAGCACATACACTATTTATCACAGTCCAAGAAAGCTCTGCTAAGCCAATACTAATTAATAGCTGTACCAAATCAACATGTTTGAACGTTATCCACTGACCTCGAGAGATTTGCTCTCATACTCCTTCATAGCAGTGATGCATTGGTGCTTAGTATTGATAGTGGTGCTAACTCCAGACTTGACCATGCTATCCGTACCAGTTGGGGGCTGCAAGAGAAGAGGTTAAGCTTCAGATGTAAAATCCAGAGAGGTCTCTATTGATGCAGCTGTTACTGAGCAGATGCTGGTAAGTTCTTTGCTATGAGAGTGGTGAGGTGCTGGAACAGCTGCCCAGAGAGGCTGTGATGCCCCGTCCATCCCTGCAGGTGTTCAAGGCCAGGTTGGATGGGGCCCTGGGCAGCCTGGGCTGCTGTGAGATGGGGAGGTTGGTGGCCCTGCATTGGTGGGGGTTGGAGCTTCGTGATCCTTGAGCTCCCTTCCAACCCAAACCATTCTGTGATGCTGTTAAAACCTAAATTCAACACAGGAACTGAAGCAGCACGCCTCTGTTATCTTACAGCTGGAACAACGTGGCAACCAGTGGAGGAATTTACCCTGCTATCCCTCAGAACACAGCTTTCAATAGCTTTCAGTTCCACTCTGTGAAGCAGTTTATTCCAGCTCAGGATACAAATCCCCAGCTGCACCCAGGGATTTCACCATCCCTGCTGGCTTTCAGCCCTGTTCCCATCTTACTGCCCTAGGAAGAAGCACCCGGTGCCACTCTAACCCTGCCCAAGCTGATCACTGCAGCTGTGCCTCCAAGCAGAGATGCCAGGCACAGCCCTGCTCCGTCACATCAGGTAACGGAATTCCCAGCTCATTCCATCCCTAAACTGAGCAGCTACTGAGCAGAAAGCAGCCTTTTGGGCACCCAGCAGTTACCCCATTTCCAACAGCTCTTCTTCCAGGCCGTCCTCCATTTTCAACTGCCACAGAACCCTCACGGACCCCCCCCCCCCCCCCTTAAAGGGAACTCATCCAAAAAACACACAGGGCATCACTGTTCCAATCTCATTTCCATTCCCAATGCCCAGCCACTGACAGGAGCATTTCTTTTGGCCCACATTCCACAATAAGTTCAGCTGTGATCACCTGGAGCTCCGTGACACCTCCTGCCTGCCCACCCTATGAACAGCTGTACATCTCAACCTACACAGGGCATTACTCTGGGCTGTTCAATTAGAACAAAATGAAAGCCTGGGCTCTTTGCAGATTAATTGCAGTGTTAATTACGCTTTCACTGCAGCAGTCTAACTAAGGGTATTTCCAAGCCATCTCAAAACACTGCATATTTATGCATTAACTGCTTCCTATTTTTAAGCTCATGGATCCAGGCACTGCTTCACACAAAGAACTGCAGGATGGAACATTTCCTACAGCAAAAAGGCCGAATTAAGAGGGAGAAACAGAACTTACATTGAATTTAATGGTTGTGCCAGTCGGAGCAGCAGTAAAACTGGTTGGGCCAAACAGAGAGCCAGATGGATTCCCAAAAGGATTGGAAGTGGTGTTGGTGGTTCCAAAGAGACCCCCGCTGCTGGTACTTGTGCCAAAGTCTGAAAAAACAAACAGGAACAGAAAGATCAGCACTAAAACAACCATTAATTTAAAGCTTAACGCCAAATATCCAACCCGAGTTAGAAAACAGTTTGGAAACAAAATCAACTGCGAGGGAAAAAACAAATAAACAGGGCAGTGTTGGAAACCTGTGGTCTGTTAACATAGCGTAGATCCCCCCCATCTCATCACCCCAGGAAAGAGCAGAGAACCTCAGCACCAAGTTCCATCCTGCTGACAGCAGCACCCATTAATGGAGGTGCACAGAGACAACAGGAAGCTTCAGCTTTCTTCAGAAGTTTCTGCTTCAGGGAATGACAGAAGTGCTGAAGGGGCATTTCAAGTATTTTAGCACCAGAAGCAGAACTAACCATAACTACTCTACAACAGCAGAAGAAGCAGCTAAAATCAAGCAGAGCCAAAGGTTAGGTAAGAATAGAAAACACCAGTTGGTCACTCATGTGTGAATTAGTGTAAAACTCAAGGCTAGAATCACAGCTGTGGGTTTTGCAGCATATCACACTGGCATCTGCCTACCGTGGACCATAACAACGAAACCAAACATTAACACTTCACATTAACACTTGTACCAGGCCCTCACACACACCCAGCTTCCCGTGCTTCAGTCAAGCTGTATCAGCCATACTCAACAGACACAAGAGTTCGACTCACTTCCAAAGCCAGCAGGTTTGTTCTGTGCGAAGGCATTGCTCTGGGATGAGAAGAGGCCCCCACCAGTGCTGGTGGTACCAAACAGGCTGCTGGATGTCCCCGTGGATGTTCCAAAGCCAAAGCCAGTGCTGGTGGAGGAGGTGGCGGGCTGATTAAAGGCGTTGGAACTGAAGAGCCCTCCTGCAGACAGAAACAAAGCTGTGAGTCGTTTGCCATCGTTTCGCTGCTCGGTTTGAGGTTTTGGTGGTAAAAGTCATTGCTTTCAGGACACAATTCTGCCTCCAGCTGTAATGCTGCAGTACCTGGCTTTGCCTGGGTGTTCCCAAAGAGGCCTCCAGTGTTGCTGTTTGCCCCAAAGGCTGACGTGCCAAACGCTCCTCCACCTGTGGTACCAAAGCCAGCATCTGGAAAATCAGCACCACAGGTTAGACAAAATCTTATTCTGAACACACGTACGAGAAACTCAACTGAGATTGCCTTTCCAACTTCCAAGCCAAAGTCTGTGCCTGACCAGCTGTACCTCAGCATCAGAGCAGCACCATTAATGCTTTCACAGCTCTTGCAGAAGGAGCCTACGGTGCTGAGTCAGCTGCTGCTACACCTGGCAAGGATGCTCAGCCCCACACCAGGCTGCAAGGCTTCCACCCCCTGCACCAATGTTAGTTTGGGAGCAATACAAGAGCAGAAGCTGTCTTCTCTTCCCACCAAGCAGTGCAAACGCACTGATGGATGGTCTGCTTTCACGGGCAGCAATCTCACTGTGCTGCTCATCTCCAGAGAGCTCCCACATCATCTGCTTCTTCCTTCCCATATTCCAGCCCCAACCGAATGAACCTTCCTCCCAGCCCAGGCAAAGATGCCTTCCCCAAAGCATCCAACTTCCCACTCCTTTTATAAAAGGAAGCTTCATCAACAGCATGCAGAATTCTGCTGTGTGCTGAAAAAAGACCCCGTGAAGCAGGCTTGGGCTCCTGATTCTCTGCTAACACAGCTCTGCATCCCATCACTGCCAAGCAAGTGAGCTGAACAGCCCACAGCAGCACCCTGCTGCCATCACACACAGAGAACCCCCACCTCTGTGTGATTCTCAAGCAGTTCTACTGTGGAAAATAAACCACACCAAGCAGTGCAAAAATCAAAAGTACAGACTTAGATGTATTACTTACTTTGTCCAAAAGTTGATGTTGTTCCAAAGCCAGTGTTACCTCCAAAAGGAGTTCCGAAGGATTTGTTAAACATTTTCAGTATGTTATCAGTTTCCTTTCCTTAAACCTGGAAAGAAGAATCTGGTTGAGCTTTCAAAGCTTTAAATGACATTTCTCATCTTCCTCACCGCTGATACTCAGCAAACTGAGTACTTCAGCCACGAGATGCACGACAGCACGACCGGAGTCACTGCAAACAGTGAGAGGAGAGCACTGACACTTCAGCAGCACCACAAGCAAGCTCCCTTCCATCCTTTATGATGTTTCCTACAAACCCACGTGCTGAGATAAGGCAGCTCCACTGCCCAGATCTGCCCTCTCAACAAACATCTCTCACAAACGGTGCTCCCCACATCTGATCCACGTGCTCTGCACTTCTCTGCTCAGCCATCTCACACCTGAGAGCCCACCAGAACACAGCCTTAAGAACAGACACAGGGATTTGCACTGAACTACAGCCTAAGATTGTCCACCAGGGCTTTTCTGTTACAACCTATACGTTCCAACTCCTGCTAACACAAAGAAATGCACCGCATGAGAGCTACAGGAACAAACCCTCCTCCAGCTCTGCTTTCATGGCTTGCTGGGCTCACCAAGATGTCCTCAATCCAACATTCTGAGCATTTCCATGCAGCTGCTCACTGGGTGTGTGACGCACCCCAACACCCCACGCTGTTGTACTTAATTGTAGGTGTAACAACACTACCTCCAACCTTGTCTCCAAATACAAGCACAACAGAAATATCCACTTCTTCATCAAGAATCAAATTGGTCACAGAATCACAGTGGTTGGAAGAGACTTCATGAGATCACTGAGTCCAACCACCCCTGCTGGTAAAGGAGGAGATCATAGAATGATAGAATGGCCTGGGTTGCAAAGGAGCACAATGATCATCCAGTTCCAACTCCTTGCTGTGTGAAGGGTCTCCAACCAGCAGCCCAGGCTGCCCAGAGCCACATCCAGCCTGGTCTTGAATGCCTGCAGGGATGGGGCATCCTACAGTAGGTCTCTAGTACGGTAGATAACAGCAGGACAAGGGGAAATGGTTTGGAGTTGAGGGAGGGCAGCTGGAGGTTGGATGTCAGGGGGAAGTTGTTTAGAGAGAGAGTGGTGAGGGGCTGGAACAGCTGCCCAGAGAGGCTGTGATGCCCCGTCCATCCCTGCAGGTGTTCAAGGCCAGGTTGGATGGGGCCCTGGGCAGCCTGGGCTGCTGTGAGATGGGGAGGTTGGTGGCCCTGCATTGGTGGGGGGTTGGAGCTTCGTGATCCTTGAGCTCCCTTCCAACCCAAACCATTCTGTGATGCTGTGAACAAGTCACACAGAAATGAAACCATGACGGGAATCACAGCCTCAGAAACCCGCAGTCCTTTTCTGCGCTGAGACCACCAGTTACTCCGCTACGAAAACGCCATAATCGCTGGCAGCACTGGCCAGGTCCGGCAGCGCAGCCCCACCACGTTCCCCCATTACACAACGATACCAGCTGCTTTCACGCAGCCCCGCTCCCCACACCGCACACCCGCAGTTCACCAAACCGCGGTGCTGAGCCCCAACACGGGGCAGCTCCCTCACGACGCTCCCGCAGCCCTCAGTCACCTCAGCGGCGCCGTTTCATACCGCTATCCCGATCACCGCGACATCCCCCGCTCGGCCCCGCTCCCGGCTGGACCGGCTGCACCGCCCACAGGCCGCGGCGGCCCGGCTCCCTGTTTCCGAGGCTGCTCTGTAGCGAGAAGGCCGTGGCGCGGCCCGGAGACCCCGAGCGCACTGCGGACGCGGAGCTCACCGTCGAAGAGAGAAGAGCAGCGCGGCCCGGCCGGGTCCGGCCCGTCCCGGCCCGAACCAGCCTCGCCACTCCCGCGCCGCCGCCACACACGGAGGAAGCTGCGTCACAACCCGCTCCGCGCGCCTCCCAGCGGCCCACGCGCCGTCCCCACTCCCTTGAGCCCGCAGCCCATTGGCTGCCCCCTCTCGGCGGCAGTGAATGGACCCACCCACTTTCCCTGTTTCCTTTTTTCTATTGGCTAAAGTGGAGATAAGCGCCGAGCACCGATTGGTCTCGCCCGGGAGGGGGCGGGGCTGACGCTGCGGAAGAGTCCAGAACATCCCTCCCGCCTCGCCGCCCAGCATCCGGGCGCGCCGAGGGTGGGGCTTCTTCCGGCCCGCCCAATCAGAGAGCTTCTCGGCCTCCTGCGTGCGCCGCGCAAAGGGCGGGGCGCGTTTAAGCGGTCCGCCGGTCCGGCAGGGGGCGCCCCACGCGGAGCCTTCGGGCCTTTTAGAGCCCAAACCTGGGCCTGATGGGGCCGCGCCGCGAGGGGCGCCCCCGGGTGGTGCCTGCGGCGGTGCTGCGGGACTGAGGCAGAGGGGGCCGGGGGAGGACAAGGGGGGCCGAGGGGCGGGAATGGGGTGGGGCGAAGGGGAGGAGGGATGAGCAGGTACGGACAGCGGGCCCAGCGGAGCAGGAAGGGGCGGGGGCAGACCAGGGCGGGCATGGAGGAGCGAGGAGCGGTGTGAGGTGTGCGGTGCGCGGGGCGGGAGGAGCGGAGCAACGGGGGACAGCGGGCCGAAGGGGTGAGAGCGGGGAACGTAGCGGGTGGGGGGCGGCCCTTGGGGTCCGGGCCGTGAGGGCGGTCCGTGCGGCGATGGGGGCTGCGGGGTCTCGGTTTGTCGTGAGCCCGGGTAGGGGCTCGGGGTCTGAACTGCAGCTCTACGGACAGCACTGTGTGACGGATGGGTCTCAACTTTGCCTCTCCACAGCTCTGTGCTGCTTCTGCCAGCTGCTTCCAGAGCAGGGACGTTAAGATGGTCAGAGGGCTGGAGCAGCTCGCCTGTGAACACAGGCTGAGGGAAGTGGGCTTGTTGAGCTTGGAGAAGGGAAGGCTGTGGGGAGACCTCATGGTGGCCTTCCAGTGCTTGAAGGATGCTTAAGTTCTTTAGAGAGAGAGTGGTGAGGGGCTGGAACAGCTGCCCAGAGAGGCTGTGATGCCCCGTCCATCCCTGGAGGTGTTGGAGGCCAGGTTGGATGGGGCCCTGGGCAGCCTGGGCTGCTGTGAGATGGGGAGGTTGGTGGCCCTGCATTGGTGGGGGGTTGGAGCTTCGTGATCCTTGAAGTCCTTTCCAACCCAAGCCATTCTGTGATTATGTGTGATTCTATGGTGCATATAAACAGGAGGGGGAACGGCTGTGTGTGAGGGTGGGTGGTGACAGGACAAGGGGAATGGCTTGAAAGTGAGGCAGGGGAGGTTTGGGTTGGATGTGAGGAGGAAGTTTTGGAGGCAGAGGGTGGTGAGGCAGTGGCACAGGTTGCCCAAGGAGGCTGTGGATGCCCCATCCCTGCAGGCATTCAAGGCCAGGCTGGATGTGGCTCTGGGCAGCCTGGGCTGCTGCTTGGCGACCTGCACACAGCAGGGCTTGGAGCTGGATGAGCGCTGTGCTCCTTTGCAGCCCAGGCCGTTCTATGATTCAGGCACACTGTCCTTCATTCAAAGCATCAGCAGTGGAGCTGCCTGGGCAGGAGGTCCCACTCTGTCCTCACCTCCATGGCTGCAGCTGTGTCCTTAAAGCTTGCATCCCACAGTAAATGAATCCAGGCAGAGCAGCAAACCCTGAGGTGATCACATAGTTTGACATCACTCTTTGCTGCTCTATGGCAGCAGCACCTGGCACTGAGCAGGACCCTGCCCCACGCCTCTCAGCAGCAGCTCTTTGGGCTGCAGCCTGAGGTCACGCTGCAGGATGTGACCCTGTGTTGCCCTTGGTCTGCTGATAATTGGCTTCAACAGGGATTGTCTGCGAGGAGGATTTGTCGTAGAGCCCGAGGTGAGGGAGGAAGGCGGCACTCAGCATCATGGCCCTTTGTCCCTTGTCCCCAGGTGGAGGGAGGGTGGTGTGGATGGGAGAGATTTGGGCCACGCACAGCGGAGTGATGATTTGTTGCTGAAGTAAAGACATGTGCAGTGCTGGGGACTGCAACTCTGTGCACCACAGCCTGAGGCGTGTAGGACAAACAGCAGTGCCTCAGAGCCTGGAGTGCACCTGGCTGATGCTGGGGCATTGAGCCAAGGGCAAGCTGCCAGGCTCGATAGCTGGCCTGACCTGACCTGTCTGAGTTGTTGAGCAATGTTTTTATCATGCAAGCTGAAGGCTGTGGTCCTGCAGCTTCCTTGAGGTGTGCTGTTGGCTGTGCTGTGCTCGCAGCGCCCCTTCTGGGGCAGCATGGTGCTGTGTCAGCACAGCAGCTCAGAGCTCGGCTGAGGAAGGATCTGGATGGCTCTGCCCGGCTGAAATGCAGTCGCGTGTCTCCCAGCCTCGTGGTGCAGAGCTAGAATCGTGTCCCATGCAGCTGATGCTGCTTTCTGCCTCTAGTGCCTCCATCCAGCACTCAGACTGCTGTGAAACACCGGCTGTGCCCAGGTTTCTCTGTTTGCAGCTTATTATAGCTTGATGCATCCATGCTGAGAGCTGCTGGGGACTGAAGGGCAGAGAATCCCTCCCAACGTGTGCTTTCTGCTTCCAGGTCCGTCAGCATGCTCCAGGTCCCGCTGCCCCTGGATCGTGATGGTATCCTGTTCCGGCTCCGTTTCACCACTCTGGCTGTTTGGACTGTGTTTTGCCCCTTGTTTGGTTTCCTTTTCTGCGTGATTTGGTCTCTGCTCTTCCACTTCAAGGAGACAACAGCCACGCACTGCGGGGTAAGTGACGTTCACCTGCAGGGCGCTGAGCTCCTCCGGGTGCTGGCTGTGCAGGGATCCTCTGTTTCCTACCACAGGTGCTGTGTCACCTTGAAGGATTTGTTTTTGTGTTGCCTCTGAATGGGCAATTGAGTTGTCAATTTTTGAAAAGTGACACTGAGCAGATTGGTGTTGATGGCCATAAAGAATAAAACTGACAAGGCTGAAGCTAAGTATGCTGTCTTGACAAGGAATTCCTCTTACAAGTGGAGTCACTGCTTCTCACGTCTGTTGGAGTTCTTTGGAGCAGCCTGTGCTGCGTGCCTGGGAGCTCTGGCTGCGAGGGACAGCTGGGTTTCTGGAATGCATCAGGTCGAGTTCCTCAGCCATGGCATAAACATCAGTAAGCAGCAGGTGTAGAGCTAGGAGAGGAGGCGACCCTGGGGTTGTGCAGGATCTCTGCTGCTCCTCCTCCCAAACACAGCGGGGTGATGAAGGTGGGGGGTGGTGACGTGGACTCCTGAGGGCAGAGCAGTGGGATCCCAGTGGTGATTGATTGAGAGAAATGACATGTGCAATGTCCCCTCCTTGTGGGACATTGTCCCCTCCTCACAGGACAGGCGTGTTGGGCAGTGCAGCAGGGATGCTCTGAGGTGTCCTGCAGCTCGAGATGCGGGGTGAGGGCTCTTCAGCTTCAGCCTGCAGAGATGCTGGGATGAGAGCAGAGAGGTGGAGGCCTCTGACGTCCTGGCTGGGTGGGAAAGCAGACAGGGACCCACTGCCTCCTGTGCCAGTGTGAGGAGCAGGGGAGATCATGAAGCACTGTGTGTGAAGCAAGTGAAAAGGAGCTGTTTCCTCAGGCAAACAGCAGTCGGTGTGAGGAGCTTCAGTCTGCATGCTGTTACTCCACATGGGTGCCATCAACACTGTCAAGAGCAGACCAAGCTGTATCCAGGACTGCAGAGCCTTTGGAGCAGCTCTAAGAGCCTGTGGGGCACCAGGTCTTGCCTTTAATCAGAGGAAAGATCTCTGAAGGAACCACTCAAATCCACTGGATCAGCACTTGATCGTGATGCTGTTTTTGGCTCTTTAGATCACTGAACTCTTGTCTGCTGAGGACTGAGAGAGTCCATCCCTCAGAGCAGGGGAAGAGCATCATCAATGACAGGATAGTGAAGAGAGCTTTCAAGTGAGGTTGCTGGGCAAGGGAAGCCTCCATCCACGCCTCTTATTGATTCAATGCCAGCATCAGCAGTCGATGCCTGGAGAAAGGAAAGGGATCAGGAGAGCTCCTGGTGGGAGAACAGCATGTAGGAATTGCAGCCCCTTTATCCAAGAAAACAATTTCATTGGGGACTCAACTGAAGTGTTTCTAAAGGATTTCATGCAGTATGAGAAATAAGCAGGGATCTGGGAGTTTTTAAACAAGACTTTACTAAACTAAACTAAAACAAGTTTTAGTTAAACCAGACTTTGATCCTTCTGATTTCCTCCCTGTGCAGCTTGTTTACTGCACCAGGTGATCTTGGAGGTCTTTTGCAGCCAAGCTGTGATTCCATGGCATAGTTGTCCTGCAGGGATCACCTTTTGCATGGCAATCACAACTGGCTGCACATACTTGGAGGTCAGCTCCAAGGTTTTCCTGCTGTTGTGTTTCTGAACATCACCTTTGCCTGCTGTTGCTGTCAGCTTTCTGTTGTTTCAGTGTCGTTTCGCTTCCCTGCTCTCTTCTCTCTCTGAACCTGGGGATAGAATCATCAAATCATTAGGGTTGGAAAAGACCTCTGAGATCACCGTGTCCAACCCCAACCCATCCCCACTGTGCTCAGTAAAACATGTCCCTAAGTGCCACATGTACACGTTTTTTGCACACCTCTGGGGACGGTTTCCTCACCGCTTCCCTGGGCAGCCTGTCCCTGTGCTTGAGAAGAGACACGCAGGGAAGGGAAGGAGTGAGGGTTGTGGATGTCAAGCAGAGAAACCTGAGCAGGGTTCCCAGCTCACTGAGCTTTATCAATAGGCTGTGGAGGTGCTGGGGGCTGGATAGCCCTGCAGGATGCATCAGGACTGCTGCTGTGTTACAGAATCACAGGCAGTTCTGTACAGTCTTTGAACAAGAGGGTGCCCAGATGGGTTTGGATGTCTCCAGGAAGATCCTCACCTCTCAGGGCAGCAGTACTGGAGCTCTGCCCCCCTCACAGCACAGATGGAACTCCCTGGGCTGCAGGCTATGCAGGTGCCCCTTGTCCTGGCATTGGGCACCACAGAACAGAGCCCAGCCTCATCCCCTGCCCTTCAGACACTGATAAGCTTCACTTATCACCCCCTACATTTCAGACACTGCTCAGATCCAGCCTTCTCTCCTGCAGGTGCACAGCCCTGGCACTCTCAGCCTGTCCCCAGCACGAGGTCCTCCAGGCCCCCACCAGCTCTGCACCCTCCTTAGGGCTCTCCCACCAGTTCCCAGTCCATCTGGAGCTGGGGAGCCCAGCACTGGGTGCAGTGCTGCAGCTGTGCCCTCCCCAGGGCAGAGCAGAGGGGAGGATCTCCTCACTCACCCTGCTGGCCACACTCTGCAGCATATCCCAGATCCCATTGGCCTTCTTGGCTGCAGGGCACTCAGCTCAACCCACTGCTCAACCAGGACCTCCAGGCCCTTCTCTGCAGAGTTCCTTTCCTGCACATCAGCCCCACCATGTCCGTTTCCTGTCTTTTGCCATAACAAGCCATGTTCCCATCTTCCAGGTCCCAAACTACCTGCCTTCCATCAGTGCTGCCATCGGAGGAGAGACCCCGCAGCGCTACGTCTGGCGCCTCTGCATTGGTCTGCACTCAGCTCCACGTTTCCTGGTGGCTGTTGCCTACTGGAACCACTACCAGAGCTGCCACTGCTCCCACCCTCGCTACAGGCGCCTGTGCCACCTCAACCTGCTGCTCAACCTGCTCGAGAACTTTGCCCTCCTCGTGCTGACCTATGTGTCCTCCTCAGAGAACTATGGTACGTGGCTCCCTGCAACTCTGCACCAACCCCTGCATGCTCAGCTTGTTTGTGGAAGCTGAGCTCTGTAAAAGTTAGGATTTATATTATAGAATGACAGAATGGCCTGGGTTGCACAGGAGCACAGCGCTCATCCAGCTCCAAGCCCTGCTGTGTGCAGGTCACCAACCAGCAGCCCAGGCTGCCCAGAGCCACATCCAGCCTGGCCTTGAATGCCTGCAGGGCTGGGGATATGTGCAGGTTACATCTGTAATGTGCTTGTAGCTCAGCTCTGGCTGAAACTCACAGAATCATGGAGTGGTTTGGGCTGAAAGGGACCTCAAAGATCATCCAGTTTCCACCCCCAGCTGTGGACAGGATTTACAGCCACTAAGTCGAGCAGCAGCTCAGGCTGTTTAGGGCCCCATCCAGTCCTGATCTCCAGGGATGGGGCACCCACAGCCCTGGGCTCAGTGTCAGAGCCTCGCTGCTCTCTAGGTAAAGAATTTCCTCCTCCATCTGGCCTAGATCTCCCATTCTGAAGCCGTTCCCATTGACCGCAGCCCTTCAGCTCCGACCTTCCGGCCAACTCCTTATCCCCCAAACAGCCACCCTCTGATCCATGCCTCCAATTTAGAGATAGGGATGTGGTGTGGGACCATGTCGAAGGCCTTGCATGCATCCAGCTGGATGGCATCCTTTGCCCTTCCCTTTACCCACCTTGTGCCATTGCAGAAGGCCTCCAGATGGATTGGGCACGGCCTGCCCTTGGTGAAGCCGTGCTGGCTTTCCAATCACAATCACATCTCTGCAGTTTGGGAAGCTTTCAGGAACTGGATTTGGGCTTTTCTTCTCTCCCTAACTTGAATATTCTTGACTTTATTAGTATTGTGAGGTCTGCAGGAGGTGGCTGCACTGCCACCTTTCTGTATTTAAGCACAACGAGGGGAGTAGTGAAACTCCTGTTTGGGGTTGTGAATCTATTCTGCACACTGCAGGCGCTGCTCCCTGCTGCTTCCATCTGCTTCTAAGTGCTGTCCTTACAGTCTCATTTTTGCCTCATCTGATGGCCTTTGTGGCACTTCTTGGCTGGCTTTAATGAGCTCAGTAGCAGCCCAATGGAGTATACTTCTAAATTCCTTGGTGTGGTTGCCAGTGAGGTACCTGCCATGGGTTCCTTGCTCATATTCATGCCTTTTCTACGCATTGTATGTTGAGTTGTGCATCACTGCATCTGGAAAGCAGTCAGCTGTAAAGATGCATCTTTCCCAGGACACCCCTATCCAGGGACCTGGGATAAGAGCTGGAGCCTGGCTTAGAGCACATCAGGAGCATGAGAGGGCTGGAACACCTGGAAGATGCTCAGCTAATTAGGCCCACACTGATTGCTGTTGGCCAGGTGCTGCTTTCTGGCTGAGCCATTAGCTGCACTGTGCCAGCAGTGGATGCCCCTCTCCAAGGGTTTTGTCCTATCAAACTATTTTGGTAGTGAGGCTGGAAGGCAGCTGAGCAGCTTGTTGTCACATCCCACGTTGGGTGTGAGGCAGCTCAGAGCACAGGTGGGCTTTGGGCTGGAGGTGATGGCAGTGCTGGAGCACCGTTCTGCCATCTGCTTATCTTTGGGACTGGCTGAAGGTTCCTCAGCCCTGCCTGGAAGGTGAAGCTGAGTTCTTGTAAGCAGCTGGAGGTTGTAGAGCTCACTTCAGCAGCATCACAGAGGTGATACCACGTGAGTGCCTTCAGAAAACCCATCCGTTGAGTTCATCCTGCCTTGGACTGGAGCAGACATGAGAAATTTAGCTACACATAGTGCAACTCTCCAATTCAGTGACATGTCCTGCTTTATAACAACAATAAAAAAAAACCTACATGTGCACATGTGCTCTGTGAGCCAGAATTGTGTGATCGTGAAGGTTATCGTGTCCGTTTGTGGAACGTGGCCTCACGTTATGCAGTGTGAGAGCTGGGGAGACAAAGCAGGTATCACGGTGTTGCTCATCGCCTGCCATGGGCAGCAGCAGCCAGTGCTGCACAATCCCTGTTCCTGAGCTGGCTGCTGCCATCTGAAATGTCCCGGGTTCAACTCTGGCACAGGAAGCTTCTCTGTGTGATAGCATTGTGGGGGAGAAGGGGATGCACAAACCTTGTTTTCTTTTCTGGTCGCCTGGAAATGGAAAGCTGAAGAGCAGCTTCCTGCACTGAATGGCACAAAGTGGTAAACTGCAGGAGGACACAACTAAGCTGTGACTTCTCCTTCACTTTAACTTGCACTGTTAACGTTGCAACACTGAAGAAAATGGGAACGGGTTCTGTGTTCCTCCCTAAACTTAAATTGGAGTCTTGACACGAGCAAGGCGGTGCTCCGCTTCGTGTGCAGGTGATTGTTGGAGATATTAAGATCGTTTTCTTAGCGAGCTGTTGGAATCTGTTGTTGTCTGATGCCACCCCTGTGCCTGTATCCGCAGAGCCCCGAGGTGGAGCAGGTGGGCAGAGTGCTGGAGCTGGACAGTGACATGGCAGACGTCACCCAGGAGCCTCCCCAGGAGCCTGCAGTGCAGGACAGCATGGCAGAGGAGCTGGAGGCAGTGCCTGCTTCTGCTCACATCGCGTCGACGCTGGGCATCAACCCCCATGTCTTGCAGGTAAGGCCTCGTGCTTTTCTCTCTGAGAGGTGCTTTGGCACCTGTTGGTGATGCTCGGTGTGCCTGCCCTGTCTGTGAGCCTCTGTGTTTGTGGGGAATCTTCAGAGGTCCAGAAAGCTTAAAGCAGAAACACCAAAGCACCTTTAAAACGATTTCAAAGCTCTGAATTGGTGAGCTCATACCTAACCTGGGCTGCTTCTGACCCAGTTAGGGCCGGCCGTGTTAATGGGATAGCTGAGTTTGACCTTGTGGCCTGTTGTTTTGGCTGATAGTTTGGTTTTTTAGGTGGGATTTTGTGTTGTTTTGGGCTTGTTTGGTTTTTTGTGTGGAAAAAATAACAGCTTGAATGCTCGTGGCCTTCTACCTGTATTTCCTACCTAGGAAAATGCAGTCGTGTTGCTTAAGCTGAAATGTTCATAGAATGGCTTGGGTTGGAAGGGACCCAAGGATCATGGAGCTCCAACCTCCCTGCTTGCATGCAGGACCAACCTCCCCATCTCACAGCAGCCCAGGCTGCCCAGGGCCCCATCCAGCCTGGCCTTGAACACCTCCAGGGATGGACGGAGCATCACAGCCTCTCTGGGCAAACAGTGGTAGCCAGAGCTAAGATCTGAAACCCATGGTTATTGTAGGACCTCGTGCCCATCCTCCCAAGCACTGTGGCATTATAACTAACAGTTTATACAAGTTGATCAATAACTGTGAAGTTTGCTTTCGTTCCTCCTGGACTGTGGCATGCAGTGTGGTATGAGAGCGTTTAGTTGTACACAGTATGTGGAATTGATCTTTATTGGGAGGGGAGCAGATGAGATCAGCTGGCTGCTGCCAACAGAATGATTGCTGACATGCAGATTTGACTTCTGCCCTCTTAGATTATGAAAGCTTCCTTGCTTGCTGATGAAGACGACCTGGATTTAATCCTGGACCATCACTCTGGGAAGCAACCTACAAAAATGGATACTTCTCAGGAGATCTGTTCTCCAAGGCTCCCTATCTCAAAATCCCAAGGGCAGAAGAGATGCTCAGGTACTGTGACAAACCACACTGCATGAAGAAAGAGTTCAGTTCTAACATCAGTGTGCAAAACCCCGTTACTGTCCGAGTGCGTGGCACAGCAGCTGTGTGCTGTGGCTTTGGCCTGCCCTCCAGCTCCACAGCCAGCTCCCAAGGCTGCAGCTCCTGCCTTCCTTCCTGGCCTCACTGCACACTGCTGCATTCCATGCTTCTGTTTTCTCTGCCTCACGTTCCCATAGGGGTGCTGCAGGCTCCCCTGCTGCTCCGTGGTGCTGTGTGTCCCACAGGGTGGTGATTCCAGTAGGAGTAGTGCATATCCTAAGCGTGGAGTTGCGTCCTGAATGAAATCTCAGACCTGAAATTGAGGACAGCTTCAATCCTGTTAATCAGTGTCTGCTTCCTCTGAAGTGTTCCTGTCCTCATGGTTTAACTATATGAGTTAAAGTTGTCATTACTTTCAAAATCTCCATTTTTGGGGTGAGGCTACATGTCATACCACCTTCTTTAGTTTGGACCAAATCATTCTGTGTGTGGTGGATTTCATGACTCTCAAAACTGCAAGCAATTGCTTTTAGCTGTGCGTTACCACAGCAGATCGAGGTGAGCATTTTCACTGGCTGGTTATGAAGGACTGAAATACCTCTGAAATCATAGAACCATAGAATTGCTCAGGTTGGAAAAGACCTTAAAGGTCATCAAATCCAACCACAACCCAACCATCCTAACCTAACCAACAACCCTCAGCTAAATCAGGGCCCTGAGCACCACATCCAAAGGGTTTGTAAACGCATCCAGGGATGGGGACTCAACCACCTCCCTGTGCAGCCCATTGCAGTGCTTTACAGCCCTTTCTGTAAAGAAGTTTTTCCTGATATACAACCTAACCCTCCCCTGGCACAACTTGAGGCCATTTCCCCTCATCCTGTCACCAGTGAGAAGAGACCAGCCCTGCTCTGCTGCAATCCCCTTTCAGCTGTTGGAAGAGAGCAGTAAGCTCTCCCCTCAGCCTCCTCTTCCCCACACCAAACAGCCCCAGTTCCTTCAGTCTCTCCCCATAGGCCACATTCTCCAAGCCTTCCCCAGCCTTGTTGCCCTTCTTTGGACCTGCTGCAGCACCTCCATGTCCTTTCTGTACTGAGGTGCCCAAAACTGAACGCAGAACTCGAGGTGAGGCCTCACCAATTCTGAGTAGTGAGCAGGATTGCTTCCCTAGTCCTGCTCACACGCTATTCCTGATACAAGCCAGGAGGCCATAAGTAACAGAATATCAGAACCTCCTGATGAAAGGCAAATGCACGTGTGGTTAACTGTTCTTCCCCTTCTTCCCTCCAGTCGCTGGGCTGCTGCAATCAAAGTTTGCTGATACCATTTGCCAACCACCCAGCACTGCTCTTTATGACCTCCAGGAGCCGAGGGTGTCTCGCAGCTCCCCTTCCCCTGCCTGCTGGTCAGCATCCTCTCCATTAGCATCAGCCTTCGCCGTCCCTCCGTCGGTCCCCGAGGTGCAGATGAGGACAGTGGGTGTCCGCAGGCAGCAGGGCTTGGTCCCTCTGGAGAGCTCCATCACCTATGGGAAGGGGAAGCTGCTGATGGACACGGCGCTGTTCATGGGACGCGCCTTCCGTGTGGGCTGGGGGCCCAACTGGACTCTGGTCAACTGTGGGGATCAGCTGAGTGGGTCGAGGGGGACGGAGGACCTCCCATGTGAGGCTGTGGAGTATGGATTCCTGCCCGCTCCTGTTGCTCCAAAGATGTGAGTACTGTTTGCCTTCAGGGTGGTTCTGCTGTGCCCTTCGCGTTTGAACGAGTCCCAGATGGAAGTCAGTGTCGTTTTGGAGTTTGGCTTAGGGTTCTTTCTGAGGTGTGAGATAGAAGGTTGTCCAGCCATCATAGCATCATAGGGTGCTTTGGGTTGGAAGGGAGCTCAAGGATCACGAAGCTCCAACCCCCCACCAATGCAGGGCCACCAACCTCCCCATCTCACAGCAGCCCAGGCTGCCCAGGGCCCCATCCAAGCTGGCCTTGAACACCTCCAGGGATGGACGGGGCATCACAGCCTCTCTGGGCAGCTGTTCCAGCACCTCACCACTCTCTCTCTAAACAACTTCCCCCTGACATCCAGCCTCCAGCTGCCCTCCTTCAACTCCAAACCATTTCCCCTTGTTATGGAGACAGTGGAGAGCCTTCAGTTTGCTACCTGACAAAAATCTCTATGTCAGAGAAATGGAGCATCACAGTAAGAGTAGCTTTTTTTTAACACTTTTTTAGCACTGTCACCCAATGAAAGTTTGAAGTGGGAAAGTCCAGAGCTGTGGTTCAGGATGCTTAGAATGTGCTGCCCTTTATCCCTGGGAACGTCTTAACTTCTGAATTCTCACATGCCTCAGTTCTGTTGTACGTAAAGCAGGATCAGAAGTTTCTGGGCTGTGCAAATCCATACCCAAACTTCACTGGTATTCAGCCCGCTGTTGTGCCATTCAGGACTTCCAAAATGCTTCTTGAGTTGATCTGCAGCACGTTTAACTTGTTAGCAGAATGAATCACAGAATCACCAAGGCTGGAAAAGACCTTCAAGATCATCCAGTCCAACCATCCACCCATCACCAAGGGTTCTCACTAAACCACGTCCCTCAACACAAAATCCAGACGTTCCTTGGACCCCTCCAGGCTCGGTGACTCCACCAGCTCCCTGGGCAGCCCATTGCAGTGCTCTTGTCAAATGTGCTGGGCTGTGGTAAGGTGTGCTGTTGCCTTTCGTGTGCTGGAGGCACAGTGAGATCGATTGGCCCACGTGTAATTCTGAATCCCAGACTATCCAGATTCTGCATACCCAGTCACTGACCTCCACTCATGCGTCTGCTGCTGTGTTACAGCCAGGACAAGCTGTGTGGTGCAGCTGCTCCATGGTAGGAGTTTATTCCCATGGAAGAGAACTCAGTGTTGTTTACCTGTTTGTTTTCTTTTTCCTTTTACCGCAGACTCCCAGAGTCCCCTTTCAAGGTTCACGTGGAGAAACTGAACTTGGAACAAAGGAAGATGAACAGAGACAAGCAGTTGTATCTCATCCCTCTGGAGATAAAGCTGAAGCACAGCACTGTCCATATGGACGAACAGTGTCCTCTCCTGGCTCCCAACCCTGGAGTTTCTGCTATTCATGACTATGCTGACTGGGTCCGAACAGCATCTGAGGATCCTGCTGTGATGGAGAGTGAGTAGAGAGTGCTTGTATTTACAGAGGATCTGGAGAACTATCCAGCCCAGGTTATTTGAGTGTGAATAAAGCAAAGTGGCTGCACCTCTTCACGTTATTGCTTGAAAGCACAAAGGTGGTTGGTAGCATTTGGTGGCTGACTGAGGTGCAGCAGTAGGATATCCTAGGAGTGGGCCTTGAGAGCAGCTCAGCAGAGAAGGACCTGGGGGTCCTGATGGACGAGAGGCTGAACATGAGCCAGCAGTGCGCTCTGGCAGCTCGAAAGGCAAAT